ACAGCATCTGGTATTCCCCAGTGGTTAACCAGGTTCAATGCTGATTAACTTCGGTGATCCTACGAGAATCGGTGTTTCAACATGATATGGCCGTAAGACTGCTGTTGTGGTTAACGAACAACAGTAAGTTGAAGTGTGGGGTCAGTCTACCCGGATTTTACGTGGAAAAATAAAATCCCTGTATCGTGCCTACAAATACAGCACAAAATTATAAACAACGCGAGGCAAAAAGAGAAGACCAAGCTAAATATAACAATAAAATTTATGCAGGCAGGTACATATATTTACATCCTTTTTTGTCCTTTGTTGTGGCCATGAAGAGGCCAATAGTTCGATTGTTCGAAATGATTTTATCGCAAGTGAGTCTGCAAAGATCGAAGTGATTTGTTGCAAGTGAGTATGCAAGTTTGAAGTGATTTTGTTGCAAGTGAGTCTGCAAAGTTCGAAGTGATTTTGTTGCAAGTGAGTCTGAAAAGTTCGAAGTAATTTGTACGCCAATATATATATATATGTGTGTGTGTGTGTGTGTGTGTGCGTGTGTGTGCGTGTGTGTGCGTGTGAAGCACATGCTAATGAAACATCTGTGTGACTGCTGACTGACTGCGTGCGATAGCAGTAATTATAAATACGGTGAACAAAGAGAGAAGAGACTGGACTTACTTTCGTCACAGTTTTGTCTGTTTTTCACTGTAGAAAAATCATGGCTGTCTGATGCGTTGTCATGGTAATGTGTGTTGCGGCAGGACTTTCTTCACCGACTGTTTCTCTCGCAGTTCTAGTTGCTGACTATTCCTCGCAGATCTAGTCGCTGGCTGTTTGTCTGTTTCTAGCAAGCCGTTTTTCTTGCTGTGGTTAGCAGGTACTCAGCTCACTGAGTTTTTGCGCAGGAATCTACTCAGTAATCCGAGCCCGGACCTTTTCCCAGGACATTTGGTGTTCAACCGTGCGGACGTCGGAGAAAGCATGTCACGTGACTTGTCCTCCCCAATCAGGCTCTAGAAACCACTTATTTAATTTGAAGCTCTGTTTTCAAAGAATTGTAAAAGAGTTTTCGTATGTACTGCATTTAGTAAGATTTATTTGCAGGCGTCTCTTGTTTGTGCTTCATTTATTGGCCGTAAAATATATGAGTTTATATGCTATAGAAAAAAAAAACTACTTAAGGATTAGTGGAGATTTGGAGCTATTAGTTCTAGACTGTGGCAAATAGGAATTTCAACGATCAAATATATAGAACTGAGTTTCATATGCTCTTTAATAAATGTTTATTATTTGTTTTGTTTTTTTTTTATATAAAGAAACACGAACTCGTTTGTCCTTTTACTTACCGTCAGTTTCAGAATGTCATCTTGTACGTTTCGGTAATGGTTGCAATATGTAAAAGCTGAAGAATGACTGAAAATAACTGGAGCTCGTGTCACTCTTAAGGAGTCAGCCATCGTCTGTTTAGAAACATGGGATAAATCTACAAGCATACCAAGTCGATTCATTTCCTTAATGACTTTCTGAAAAAGAAAAAGAAAAAGAAATAAAGGTCTGTTCTATCAAAGGTTTGTTTGTTTAGCGGCATATCAACTCCTTATGGGTCATTGAAAGTCAAAATTTAATTTTCTTGCGGGCATTAGCAATTTCTTTTACAAAAAAATTATTGCTGCTAATTTATTTTTCTTTTTTGTTACAAAATATATTTCTGCTAAATTTTTTTTCTTTTATGTTACAAATAAGTATTGCTGCTAATTTTTGGGGAGGGGTAAAAAAATTTATTGCTGGTAATTTTTTTTTCTTTTTTGTTACAAATGTCTAACGCTACTAAATTGTTTTTTTTTTTGTTATCAAAATATACTATTGTTAAAAAAAAGTACCACCAGTGTATTCGTATAACAAAAAAAAAAAAAATTATTTTGTTACACAAATTTATTGCTGGTAATTTTTTTTTCTTTTTTGTTACAAATGTCTAACGCTACTAAATTGTTTTTTTTTGTTATCAAAATATACTATTGTTTAAAAAAAAATACCACCAGTGTATTCGTATAACAAAAAAAAAATATTTTGTTACACAAATTTATTGCTGATTATTTTATTTTTTTTAGCAAAAATGTATTGCTGCTAATATTTTCTTTGCCTTACAGAAATGTATTGTATGTAATTCTTTTTACTATGAAAATGTATTGCTGGTATTTTTACTATAATTATTTTTTATACTTTCATAGTGTTTTGACCCCAGTTTGGGGGGTTAACTATTTGCCCATAGCTGGAGCCCTAACAGGTGCTACCACCACGGATCAGGATAGACCTGGGAACAACAGCAATTAAGAGGTGGTCCCACGCTTCTTTAAAACCTTTCAAACAGTAGCCTTGCTGCCGGATATATTTTATCGTTATACCCAAGACGTCTAGCTAAGGTCAATTGGAAAAGTTAAAAAGATTAAACATATTTAAGAGGGATAGAACACTGGTTAGAAAACATCTAACGCGTGCCATTCGCTTGTGATATGAATTCGATCTTCAAGGGTGCCCTATGAGTGTAACCTTAATGCAGGTCAAAACTGGGTTTTGTAATTAACCATGAACAACCTATGGAAATTCTGCGAGTTTTGTCAGCTAAGGTTACAAACGTAGTGGTAATGAGAATATTATCCGTTTACTAAGAAGGAAAAAGTCGGTATTCATTGACCGAGCAGCCTGTACTGCTGTCGGTTGAAAATTTATAAAATCTTTCTCTTAAAACGATCTTTTAGGCAATAAAGATTTTCAAGTCCAGTAGCTGTTATCGATTGTTTCTGTATTAATGGGGGTTTCTTTCCTAACCTTTTGTTTGAAATAATCTGAAACGTGTTAACATTTATTATTTGCTCTTCGAGTTACGTGTTGCTATCCATTTTAGTTGTTGCTGTTTTTGAAAGTCTTCAAGTGGTGAGATTTCTGTTATATGGTACGGTTCTGATTATTTAGGTTTGCGATTTCCACAAGGTTCAAATTAAAGTGTAGACCCCACTAAGACCGACAGGTTTCATTCATTCGAAGCCACTTTTAACCATTGATCTTAGAAAGCGGTTATATGTAGACAAGCGTTTAAATATTTCTGAACGATTTTGGTGCCATGCATGACATCCATACCAAAGTCTCGATCTGACGAGGATATTTAAAGACATAATTCAAGTTTTTAAGTTAATGCTTTGACTTTGAATTGCTTGAGCAATTTGCGGTGTGGGATGAAACTCACCACAGCACAACCTATTCTATGTTCAATTTCCTTTATTTTCTCGTATACTAAATTTTTTTTTTATGGCTGATCCATACACAGGGATATTTAAGTTTAACATAAACAAAGAACTTTACCAAATAACAGAAACCACATCACTTAAGGACTAGTAACAGCTAAAATGGATAGTACACGTAACTCTGGGAGAAGACAATGACATAATAAATATATTGACGTTCCACACTATTTGAAACAAAAAAATTGGGAAGGGAACCCCCATGAATACTGGAACGAACGATAACAACTAATGGACTTGAGAAACCTAACCTATTTTTCTGAAAAATTGTTTTCAGAGAAAGATTTATAAATGTCAACCGACATCAGCACTGGTTATTCGGTCAATGAATACTGAATATTTCCTTATTAGGAAACGGCTACTAATGCCATTACCAGAGTTTCCAAATCTCCAACTGAGATTATTTTTTTAAATTTTTTTGAAACAACATCAGCAGTTGGTAATATCATAGAACCACCATTTAGTTTTGTACTAGCTTAAGTAATTTTTCAAGAAGTTTTATACGCTCAAAGTATGTTGCAGTATGTTGAAATCACATTGTGGACAGTAAATGCTGCGGGCTTTACTTCGGGTTTGACTAAAAGAAGTGGCAACACTGTTTTGAAGATGTAAATAACAGGTTTAAAGACATGGAAGACAATTTCAACAACGCGATGTTTTATAATTTTGTGTTTTTCTATATCTAAGTAACAAGGGAGATAAAATACACACGTATGAGTGTGAAAGAAAAAATAAAGATTAGGAATTGCGTGTGTGTGTGTGTGTGTGCGTGTGTGTGAAAGAAAGAAAGAAAGAAAGAAAGAAAGAAAGAAAGAAAGAAAGAAAGAAAAGATCAGTTATTAAGGAGAAAAATATTCCTGTGCTGGGGGAAAAGGTCCCGCTAGTGCTGTTACTCTAGCATGTTGGGAGGAAAAAGAAATAAGAGAGGATGAAAATTGGAAGTGTCCCGTTTTTATAGCTATTTGATAGCGCCCTCAAACGACTTCTTGGCAAAACTAGAGAAGTTATGTGGGGTAATCCACAAATACAAATAAATCAAGTATTTTTCTTAATAATGAAACTTTATGATGCTCACTTCTCCAAAGGGTGATAAACCATTGAATTCCCATGACTTGTCGATATCCGTTTTCCAGTTGTCTGCCCTTGGAAATAAAACGTAAAATAATAATAAAATTAATAAAACGACCATAATTAATAAAAAACAACTTTCACTCAAAATTGTTTACAATAGACTGAAAACAGACAATTTCATTTTGTACGAGGTGAGAAAGAATGTTACTGTTAAGTGTAAGTGTGATTTCAATACCTGGCTAAGGCAGTGTAGAATTTGGAAAGGGGAATTAACAGGAGATAACTGATAACTGACATCTATTAGACATGGCACTTGGAACTAGAACAGTCTACACCAGTGAGGGAAATAAAGACTTCAGTTCGACATTCCAACCACCTGAAGAAGGCCGGAGCGTACAACGGCCGAAACGTTGTGATAAATATGGCAACAAAGATGAGGATGATAGTCCGAACAATGTAAATAGTTTGGACTTTGTTGTAACATTAACGTTATTAAAAAATGACAGATTTTGTGTGTTCCCTTTATTAATTTTTAAAATTATTTTCGGTGAATTTCCTGTCTTTGACATAAAAGATGTTTAATTACGCTGATTCCCAAAGAACAAATACTGCTGACTTATCTAATACCTTTTATAAACAATCGTTTTCAACAATTGCGTACTTTGTGTTTTATCATCTATTGTGCCGAGTGTATTTGCAATTTTGCTGTTTCAAAGAAGCGATGTTTAAGCTGAGTAAAAATTTCTAAAAACGTCTACTTGTGTATAATACGCACTTCCATTTTTTCCCTTTCAATTTTCGTTCAACATTTTTCGTATTATGCACAAGAAAATACGGTAGCTATATATCCAGTAACATTTTTTGACATCAGATGTTTGATCAGATATGACTTTTCTTCCGGTAGCGTGTATGCAGCTTTGATTAGAACAAAAAATTGACCTAATTTTGAAAGTATAAATGGAAGATAACCAATGTCAGGGTAAATTCAAGCAGTCTCGTTATATATATATATATATATATATATATATATATATATATTGTATAATTTATAATACATAAATAATAACATCATTTTCTAGTGAACATTCGTGGCCTGAAGATTGTGTTCAAACCAGAAACATATTGTCCAAAAAAGAAAAAAAATATATATATTTTCACCACTTTTATTTTAATCGTTGCATTCATTGAGTACAATTGTTCATTTTTCTCGATCGAGCTCTTGATGAGAGAAGAACAAAAAAGGTTAGCTGTTTCTCGTATTTTTAATCGGTTCAAATAGGAATAGTTCTTGTTTGAATTTCATGTCTGATTTTGTAGAAAGAGCTCGTAGTACACAATGCTCTTCCAATCCCTCCAGATACACAGTACCACCTCCTTTGGATCCAGACAGGTTTTTGGAGTGGTTAAAAGTCGCTCACTTGCCTTTTTCCTAGGACTTTTTCTGCTCCACATTGTTGAAAGCAATTCATTTTTCATCGCCTGTTGTCGTTCTTTTAAAAAAAAGGGACCGTTTTTGTTGCATTTAAACATAGAATAGCAGAAAGGGATGCGGTCTATTAATTTTATTCCCGTTAAATCGGGGGTGGGGGGTCATCCAAAAATCGTAATGATTCACGTATCTAGAGCTTTTCAAATGGCTTACAACGCTCATCTGGGATATGTAGAGCATTTCTGCAATGCCCATTTTTTTGTTTTGAACAAGAGTTTTAATTATGGAGGAATGCTGAAAAAGTTATCGAATGACCTAAGAATGTATTTAAAAAAGAAAGTTCTTATCTGTGATCATTTGGCCTGATTTGGCCAAATAGTTGTATATCTATGTTATCAGCAGCTGTGTGTAATCTCTGACCTATGAAAAAAGAAACAGTATCTTGGATTTATTAGATAAAGAACTACCGATAAACGAGAAAGAAACGCGCGCCCAAAATTATTTTAAAAATATCACAATAAAAATAAAACGATAGATAGTTTGTAATTAAAGTGTTTCTACTCTCGCTGTGCTTAGAGAATATGACAAGAGTTTTGTATTTCTGAGATGAGGTATTGTAACTATTTACACTATTTACATAGTTCGAGCTGTTGTTCTCATCTTTATTGTTATATTCATGACGTTTCGGCCGTTGTACGATCAAGCCTTCATCAGGATCTTTCTATATTTCTGAGATGAGGTATTGTAACTATTTATACTATTTACATCGTTCAGATTGTTGTCCTCATCTTTATTGTCATATTCACGACGTTGTAGAGTTGAGTTATTATAGGGAAATAACTGAAACTGATCCAGAAAAGGCATGGCACGTGGAACTAGATCAACCTACTCCGGTGGACGAAATAAAGTGTTCGGTTCGAAATTCCAGCGTATATTACCTGAAGAAGGTCGAAGTGTATAACGGCCGAAACGTCGTGAATATGACAACTGTCCGAACAATGTAAATAGTATGAATATGAGTTATTGATTATTTTTCTCATTCATTGCTACCAACGAACCAATACTTACCAAGGTGTATTACAGCTGTGTGTAATAGTCATATATCTGACGCCAAGGTCATAGAACATGCGCAGAGCACCCAAACTACTGTCAATAGAGTGACCTCCTTCAAGACCAGCGAGGCAGCCTATTTTATGATTTTTGAAAGCGTCTTTAATACCTTAAAAAAAAGAAAAACATGTCATCGTTGTATAATGTTGTTCAGAAAGTAATCTAACATTTTTAAAGACAAAGAAAACTTATCGGTCAACGACAGAATCATCATTCTTCTTCTTTTTATATGTCCTTTCAGAATGGGACGATCATGGTCCTTCACAACACCCTGTACTTTGCTGCTCTTAGTAACGTTTGCCCCTTTGCCATTTCTCTTTGTTAAGTAGGTTATTCACTGTTTCTTCCTTGTTTCTATTGCGTTCAGCATGTCATGTAAGTATTAAATTCTCCGAATCGTCTTTTCTTATGCCTCCCAGAAGTTTTAGATTGTTAGCTGTAACTTTCTTGTAGTCCCTATTCTTCTTAAGACTTTCTTGTTCACATGTTCTGTCTATGGTATTCTCAGCAATAAAGAGACATCTTTCGCGTTTCAAGTCTCTTCTTCTTCCGTAAAGAAATCATTCCTTTTTCACTGCCATATTGGAAATTAGATATTACACAGTAGTTCAGTACTCTTTAGTTTCTAATGATATTTTCCTGTCTCTTAATATTTGGTTTAGTTTCTGAAATGATGTTTTTCATTACCTGTTACTACAATATTCATATAGTTAAATTTCTCTACCTGCTTGATTTTAACGTTCCCGATACGTAACTAATATCTTGGGCTGTCTCTTTTGCTGACAACCAGGCATCCTGTCTTATTGCAGTTAATAGTAAATATTTTCTTCTTGCTTCCCCCTTATTATTTTGCTAAGCAGGAACAAAATCTTATCGAAAAAATATTTTAGTCCTTGTTGATAGAATCGAGAGGAAAGACCCTTTCCCGCATCTTAACAAGAATCCCATCCTCGTAAGGTTTTGGTGAGGAGTCAGTAGAATGTTGTAAAATAATCAGAGCAGATCATAATTATCAAGAATGAACGAAAAGTCAAATTTCATGTGAAAAGTACCCTTGATTTGAACAACAGGATGTGTGCCATTTTTCAGAAAGGCTGTGTATGTTCCTACTCAAGAAAATAAACTCGAGATTAAATCACTAGAAGATGTTCTTAGAGCCAAAACCTTTAAAAAGAAAGAATTAATTCAGCAATTAAAAGAATTCTTTGGGGCCTGAAAAACAGATTCTTTCAGCAAGTAATAAAAGAGTGGCTTTCATGTTGTTTTTTTTTTTTTTTACATTGCTCATAATGGTACTTAGGAACTTAAAATAATGTTCACTTATATTTGAGCAATTTTTTTTATTAATTTTTATTACATCTCCAATTATTTTCCAAACCACTGAATAAAAAAAAAAACAAAACAAATAATTTTCTATTCCCTGGATTTAACCATTTCAAATTTTTTCTTTATCAAATCAATCTCACAGATGAAATGTCGCAAACCTCTCACTGCTCTATTGCTATTTCTATAGAAATTGTTCAGATGACCTACATTCCTTAGTTCCATCAGTTCTAACCCTCACGGCTAAGATTTGCCACTGTAGCAAAACTACCCTCATTTCCTTTGTATTCCAGTGGTGAGATGTAAGTTACATTCGAGCAGCTTCTTCCCTTGAATCACAGCTTTGTGGAATTAACTCCCAGGAAGATGCTTCCCTGATCACTACAATCTTAGCCTGTTAAAGCCTTGGGCTAACACCATTATCTTACCCAGATATCTCCATGAAATCTGCCTCTTAAAGACAAGGAACATGTAATGGCAACATCTTTAAATGGATGGAAAGAATCAATTCAGTATTCTTTTGGATTTGAATTCCCAATTCCTTCAGTGAGTAATAAAAGAATTACTTTCATATTTTTTTTTTACATTGCTCATAATGATACTTAGGAACTTAAAATAATGTTCACTTATATTTGAACAAATTTATTTCTTAATTTTTATTTCATCTCCAGTTATTTTCCAAACCACTAAAAAAAACCAAAAAAAAAAACCCCTAAAACACTGCATTTTAAATATATTTATTCTTTTGTTCTTGCATGGTTGGCAAACACCAAAATATTATTCAGATTAACATTTAATCTTCAAAAATGAAATTATTGCAACGATTGCAATTTCCATGGAAAGAGTTCAGACGAACTACATTCCTTAGTTCCACCAGTTCTAATCTTCACAGCTAAGATCCGTCATACTACGCACATTCCAGAGAACCAGCCTCATTCCCTTTATTTTCTGTTGGTGAAATGTATGTTCCACTCGAACAGCTTCTTCCCCCGAACCGCTGCTTTGTGGAACCGATTCCCAAGATGATGCTTCCCCGATCACTAAAATCTCAGCCTGTAAAAGTCTAGGGTTAACACCGTTATCTTCCCCACATATATCCATAAAATGTGCCTCTTATTCTGTAACCCTCTACCTCGAGTGAAACATCATTGTAAAAAAAAAAAGAAGAAAAAAGACAATGATCATGCAATGGAAACATCTTTAAATGGCTGGAAGGAATCAGTTCAGCGTTGTCAGTGTTCTTTTGAACCTGATTTCCCAATTCTTTCAGTAAGTAATAAAAGAATTACTTTCGTATTGTTTTCATTGCTCATAATATTTTGCAGGTAGAAATAAATCCCCATTATGTTGTCTGTATACAAATAAATGAGTTCAAGGTGCGAATTGCAAATCGGAGATATTAAACTCAAACAAGTGCGGAAATATAAATATTTGAGAAATGATGTTAACAGCAGACAGGAAGTGTGCCACTGAATTTCGAAGACAAGGGAGCATTCAAAAAACTAAGCTGAGTAATAAGAAACAAAAATTTCATTAGAAACAAAAGAAAAGAGTACTGAACTGTTATGTGATATCTGTCTTTCTACATGGCAGTGAGTGTTGAATGATATCCTCAAAGATGAAGCGATTTCAAGCAACAGAAATGTGGTTCTACAGAAAGATGCTGAAAATACTATGGACTGAACATGCGAGCAACGACAAAATTTTAGAGAAAATGGAAACAAAAAGGAAATTTATACTTCACATCAGCAAGAGACAACTGAGGTTTCTGGAGCACATAATGAGGAAGGAGGGCTTGGAAAATCTGATACTCACAAGACAGATGGGGGCAATAGGGACAGAGGAAAGCAACGCATAACATACTTGGTGAGCTTGAGTAAATGGATTGTGGAACAGGGCTTAGGAGAAATAACAGAAAGACAAATTTTATTAAGAGCTACAAAGGACAGGCAGTTGTGGAGAGTCATGATCACCTACGTCTCGAGGGGACATGGCATATAAAGATGAAGATCACCTCTTTGGTTGGGACGTATATGGACATTTTACATTAAATATTTATGGCCTCCCGAAAGATTTATCCCGCAAAAAATATTTGCGGACTGATGTGAGTCCAGGTAAAATATGTATGCAATACATATAGTTAAAACAAACCACAATCTATGTTAATAACAAAAGGAATTACTTCTGTACACAACTGTAATGAAAGGAAAAAACATTAAAACTAGTTATAAGAGTGTGCTAGTTTGTGTGTGTGTGTGTGTGTGTGTGTGTGTGTGTGTGTGTGTGTCTAACAAGCGTGTGTGATAGACACGTGTGTGTATTCACGTGTGTCATGGAGTTCAAAAGTCAACAGAGGACCAGGGAAGCGAACGCGCCTCAGTGGCAGCGTTCTTTAACCACGTGCAACTACATCTGGAAGCAAGAGTCAAAAAGAGGTAGAGAGAGAGAGAGAGAGAGAGAGAGAGAGAGAGAGAGAGAGAGAGAGAGAGAGTATGCTTGCCTTTTTATAGACTTAAAGAGCGCCCCCTAACAGGCGTTTTCGAAAAGACAAGTGCGATAACCCACAGATACTTTGGATCTTAAAACATTTTTCACTTATATTTGAACAAGTTTTTATTTTATTTTTATTCCATCTACGATTATTTTCCAAACAACTGACTATAAAAAAATTAAGGTATATTTGAATATATTTATTCTTTTGCTTCTTGCATGGTTGGCAGTGACCAAATATACTGTTCAGATTAACATTTAATCTTCAAAAATGAAATTATTGCAACGATTGCAATTTCTATGGAAAGAGTTCAGAGGAACTACATTCCTTTATTCTACCAGCTCTAACCCCCATGGCTAAAACCCGCTATACCACGCACATTGTAGCGAACCACCCTCATTCCTTTGATATTCTGTTGATGAAATATAAGTCCCACTCGAAGAGCTTCTTCTCACGAACCACTGCTTTGTGGAACCGGCTCCAAAGAGGATGCTTCCGCGATCACTACAATCTTAACCTGTTAAAGTCTAGATTTACAACTGTTATCTTTCCCACATATCCCCATAAACTGTAACTCTTATTCTGTAATCCTCTACCTCGAGTGGCTCTTGGGCTTTGTACAGAGTGAACATAAGTGTGAAAAAAACAAAATTTGAACACGTAATAGCACCACCTTTAAATGGATGGAAAAGGTTAATTCAGCATTATCAGAATTCTTTTGCTTCTCTGGAATCACAAATTCTTTCAGCAAGTAATAAAAGAGTTACTTTTATATTGGGATTTTTTTTTCAAAACTCATAATGATATTTAGTATCTTGAAATAATTTTAACTTATTAGATTTGAACGGTTAAGTCGCCGACCATCTGACAAAAAACGGATGAAAAAAAAAAAAAGGGAAGCTTCTAACAATACCATGGACAGAGTATGCGAACAAAGAGGAAGTTTAAGACAAAATAGAAACAAAAAAAGGGTACATATTGAGAATTAAAATAGTTGAAATTTCTGGAACACATAATAAGGAAAGTATGATTGGAGAAATTGACACTCACAGGACATAGCGAAAACAAGAGGGAAAGAGCTAGTAACCTCCCTACCGAGTAGGGGGGAGAATGAGAGGGATAATAAAAAGGTAAACAATACTAAGAACTACAAACTATAGAAAGTTATGGGGAGTCATGATCACCTACATTCTGAAGCGACACAGTACATAAAAAAATTTAAAAAAAATGGACTTGGTAAATATGTATATTTTTGAAAAGACGACAAAATTCCACTTTATTATCATGCCAGGTGAGGTTTTCCCGCGCCCCCGCCAGGATGACGGAAATATTTAAGTTTTTGATGTAATTCCAGTACAATGCATATTACAATTTGTCTGCGAGCTAAAAATAACCTGTCAGATAAAGATTTCAGACATAAATTATGTGGCTTTAGGTGTCAAGTTTAAAATAACAGTATGAGAAGCGAGCTGCTTATTGCCACCATGTTTATTTCGTAAAAGTATTGAAGTGTTACACACACAAATATTTATATAGGAATATAGTATGTACAGAAGCTGGTTTCTGACATAAAAATGTTCTGTTCCTCCCGAATAACAAATACTAGTTTTTAACCTATTAATGTCCACTGTGCCATTTTTAGGATAGTTGGCATTTATGAAAGTAACTCATAATTGATAGCTGATTATTTTATAAGCAAATAATTTATATCCGATGTTTTTAGAAATGTACAATACTAGAATTTTGCATTTTAATATTCATAATTATGATTTTATGGTAGGAATTAATGGTTTAAACCCACATATCTTCGGGATGTAAGCGATCAAGTTTTTTTTCCCACAGCTTAATTTAATATCTGTATAACCACGGGTTTCTGATTTGTTTAGAAAATAGTTCAGTTTTACAAACCGAGATGAGATAAATCTCGTATTTTCACAAAAAGTTCAAAATCAGGGTTAATACATCTAATTTTGTGACAAACTTTCACAAATAGCAAGATCATGGTATATCTAACTCTAAATTTGTAGAATTTTCTCCTTTTTGCTTTTATTTATTTTTCCTCTGTTAGTTCATTTTCTTTTAGTTTCTTTCTTTTCGTCGTCGTCAGTTTTTAGTTTTTCTTTTAAAATCCCAGAAACAAGCGACGACTTCCTTGTGAATGCCAAAACCCGTATCCTTTTTCTTTTCTTTTTTCTTTCTTTCTTTCTTTCTTTCTTTCTTTCTTTCTTTCTTTCTTCTAGGTTCAGCTTACAATACCCGGAGTCGTCTTCCTTGTGACTGTCAAAACTCTTCTGCTTGTCTGACAAGCCAAACTTCTTAAATAGCCACAAATAAGCCCCGAATTGACTCAGTAATTTAATACTCTAGGTTTGTAACTTATTTTCCCCATTGGTTAAAAAAACAATCTCTTTAAAACACGTATGTTCGGAAATTTTATTTTGGCGGGTCTTCAGCCCATAAGACTTTAGCGTCTTTTTATGCAAAGTTTGGAAAAGCAGAATTTATACATGTATCTTTTGTTTTTAATAAACTGTCAGGTTTTATTTTGACGGTGTTTTTAAAGCATCACTTTGAGCCTCACCTATACAAAGTTTTATACATCAAATTTTATTCGTCTTTTTTGTACTAACCGTCTGGCTTCATTACAGCAATTTTAAATTTAAAGAATACATGTTAGTAACTTTCTTCTATTAATATATGTTTATGTAAAACAATACACCAAAAAAGGTTTAATAAACAAACTTAGTCTCTTACATTGTTTTTTATTTATCCTTTAATTATTTTTATATAATTTTGCTTACTATGTTTTTATTTTTATAATGTTCTTGTAATTTTAACCCTCCTATTCCAGGTTCCGTTTCAATAACCGCTATCCTACCCACGCATATGTATTTATAAATGAATAATTATGGATTTTTATTCATGAAAGCTAGTATAGAATGAAATCTTATTCCTGCATCTTCATTAGAAGAGTCTACTATACAGAGATGGGACCATCCTTATGTGAAAGAAAAGGAATCGTGTGATGTTAGCTCAACAGACGAGGGCGAAACTTGAACACGGCTCAATTTTTTACTTTCAGTATCAATAACCCGCACATGTAGATAAAACCCCCAAATACCCCCCCCCCCTAAAACAAACGATTTTAATAGCTGCAGTATAGGAAGCACTGACCTTGAGCTGAGGTGACAAACTGAAATGTATCTGGGTATTTGGCGACGAAATTTTTGACGATGTCAATTTGTTCTAGACTCTTCTTTACTGCATCTTTGTATTGACTGTCGCAATCGACATACGTCGACCAAAACTACAAGAAAATAAAGCAAAAAAAACAAAAAAAACAAAAACATTATTGTCTATTTCATTTCTGTTAAATGATTAAACGTCAATCATTATTATTAATTTTTGACAAATATTTATCTTCCTCTAATATCAGGGGTGATATCCTTTAAAGCAATGAGAATTGGATACTCTTGGTTGAGGCAGGAAAATGGATTCAGAAGTTCGAGAACCAATGCTTGGGAAAGATGCTCTACTGATTATAAAAGGAGCAAAGTTAAAAGTCTCATGGTTCGACAGGAATCTCTTCTCATCGCAATTAATCGTTGGAAGATGTCATGATTTGTCCACGTCATACAGCTTAACAGCCTCTGCAAGACCATCATGCAAGGTACTGTAGAAGGTGGACGTAAGCGGGGACGGCAACGCAGAATCTAGTCAGACAACATCAAAGAATGGACGGACCTCATGAAAGCCACTGGCAACATTCTGGAGGCGGTTGCCTGTTTCTTCTGCCCTTAGGTTCCTCAGACGATTGAAGCAGTGATTATGATGAGGATTCAGGCATTCGAGAACCAATGCTTGAGAAAGATCCTCTACTGGGAACACAAAACATGTTTGACCTTGCTCCATGTATGGAGCAAGGTCAAAAGTCTTGTGGGCCGATAGGAATCTCTTCTCGCCACTATTAATCGTTGAAGATGTCATGATTTGTCCACGTCATACAGCTTAACAGCCTCTGCAAGACCATCATGCAAGGTACTGTAGAAGGTGGACGTAAGCGGGGACGGCAACGCAGAATCTAGTCAGACAACATCAAAGAATGGACGGACCTCATGAAAGCCACTGGCAACATTCTGGAGGCGGTTGCCTGTTTCTTCTGCCCTTAGGTTCCTCAGACGATTGAAGCAGTGATTATGATGAGGATTCAGGCATTCGAGAACCAATGCTTGAGAAAGATCCTCTACTGGGAACACAAATGGCAATGTTTGACCTTGCTCCATGTATGGAGCAAGGTCAAAAGCCCTAGGGGCCGATAGGAATCAGATAACTCGCCACTATTAATCGTTGAAGATGTCATGATTTGTCCACGTCATACAGCTTAACAGCCTCTGCAAGACCATCATGCAAGGTACTGTAGAAGGTGGATGCAAGCGGGGACGGCAACGCAGAATCTAGTCAGACAACATCAAAGAATGGACGGACCTCATGACAAAGAACACTGGCAGTCATTCTGGAGGCGGTCATCCTGTTTCTTCTGCCCTTAGGTTTAGACGATTGATCATGATTATGATGAGGATTCTCATTCGAGAACCAATGCTTGAGAAAGAGGCAGATGGGAAGCAGGGATGGCAATGCAAGTTTGACCTTGCTCCATAACATGGAGCAAGGACAAAGTCAATGGGCCGATAGGAATCTCTTCTCGCCACTATTAATCGTTGAAGATGTCATGATTTGTCCACGTCATACAGCTTAACAGCCTCTGCAAGACCATCATGCAAGGTACTGTAGAAGGTGGACGTAAGCGGGGACGGCAACGCAGAATCTAGTCAGACAACATCCAAGAATGGACGGACCCCATGAAAGCCACTGCCAACATCCTGGAGGCGGTTGCCTGTTTCTTCTGTCCTTAGGTTCCCCCGACGATTGAAACAGTCCAGTGATTGATTATGATGATGATGATATCAGGAGACACTTGCCATTTATTTCCCAGTCTATAGACATTTTAGGAAATGGATTGGTGGTTACAGTATGGCATAATTCGTACTTTTAAAAAAAATTGTTTCCCCCCGCCAAGCCATGAGTTAATTAGTAAGACTTGCATAACTAAATCATTATTATCTAAAGAAAGAAGAAATGCCTATAGTCTAAAAATATTTCTGGCTTTCAATAGCCTGTAAAGGGTCGATAAACCGTAGAAAATGAATCAATCAAGATAGTAGTTCAGTTCCTTTCAGTAGAAAATAGCTGATTTAAGCTAAGTAGAGCATTAAGGGGTAGAAAAATTTCGTTAGAAACAAAAAAAAATTGAATTATTTTGTGATGTCTACCCTCTTGTATGGCAACGAATGCTGGATAATCTCGTTACAGATGAAGAAGAGACTGGAAGCAACAGAAATGTGGTTCTACAGAAAGATACTGAGGATACCATAGTCTGAACATGTGAGCAACGACGTGGTTTTTTCAGATAATGGAGACAAATAGTAAACTTAACATCAGGAAGAGGCAGTTGAAATTTCTGGGTCACGTAAGAAAGGGGGGCTTGGAAAATTTGATACTCACAAGACAGACTAAGGAAAAGATGGATAGAGGAAAGAAGTGCATAACATATTTGATGGGCTTGAGTAAATGGATGGTAGAACAGGGTTTGGGATAAATAACAAAAAGACAAAATTTATTGAGCTACAAGGAAGATGTAGAAAGCCATGACCGCCTACGTCTTGAAGGGATACGGCACATAAATGAAGAAGAACTCAAATAAACCATAAATTCATTACAAGAAGCCAAATGCAACTGAGCAGGAATTTTGTGTTCCTTGCTAATTTCTGCTTGTGAAATCCGTATTAGCTATTTGGCAACGCTACTCCTCAGGTTCTACTCTCTAAAGTTTGTACCAACAAATCTGATTCAAAGGTTAAACACATTAACCTTTCCAAAATTTCCAGCCCTTTTCAGTCTGAGGTCAAAATCTCTGATCCCAGTTAACATTATAAATAATAAAGTATGAAGAAAATTCTCATTAGACAAACATCTAGTTACGATTTATATCGGAGACATCTAAATCAAGCAGTTAATGCCATCGGTTATAACGTCGTCGTCCTCCTCGTCCTCCTCGTCCTCCTCGTCTCCCAGTTTTGTGGACTCTACTGAGAATTATGGGACCAAAGCTCTCAACAACACCAGGCATTGCTGTTGCTGTTTCCATTACAAATAAGGTTTTATGGGATGAAGTTGCGAGCCAAATGTCCAACCAATTTTCGTTTACAGCACCCGGTGTTCCTAAGCTCAGCCCCTCATCTAAGTACTGACCGGGTTCGACACTTCTTAACTTCAGTGATCAAAATTATGATTTTATGGTAGGAATTAATGGTTTAAACCCACATCTCTTCAGGATATAAGTGATCGAGTTTTTTTCCACAGCTTAATTTAATATCTGTATAACCATCGGTTTCAGATTTGTTTAGAAAATAGTCCAGTTTTTACAAATTGAGATGAGATTGTAGAGAGTTATTTATGCGAGAAGAATATTTTTTATAGGTTGCGTGCAAAAATTATATTTCCTCCATACAATTTCAAATTTTTCCTCAGCAAATAAACAAGAAGCAATAAACAAATTTGAGAAAAGACAAAAGCAATATTTGGTAAACAAACAACTTTCATTATATTTTTGTAAAAAAGGTTTTTACATAATACTAGCGTAGATCTTTAATGAAATCTTGGTTTGTTTAATTAGCGTTGAACTCAATTTATGTGTACGTTTGACTTTAGTTGATGAGTTCAGATAAGAAATGCAGTTTGGTAGTATGTATAAATGAAGTTTCATAAAGTGAGTTGTAGGAGAAAATTTTCTCTTAGAAAGTTACTGTTCATTTAAGCAATAAATTTACGTAAAAACTGTGTGCAGATTTTTTGTTCAATGAAGTTTTCTTCCTTTGATTAATATTGTGAGACAATGATCTCGAAAGATTGGAAAATATAAAGTTAATTCATTTGCAGGAAATAAGTTTAGGCTTCTGCAAAAAATGAATTGGCGAGTGAGTGAAGATTTCTTAAAGTTTGTTGAATGTTCATAGAAACGTTAAAACTTAAGATGATCTGACTTGGATTCCTGTGGCAAGTCGTTCGGAGTCACGATGCTCCCTGGTGAGTGTGAATGACTTTTTTCTATTTATTTACTTTGGGTGGCTCGTAAAAAATAGGCGCCAAGTTTAAACTTAGTCACGAGCTGAAAAAAATACTTGAGCGTGTGTGGCTAGCAACACCCACTTGCGTTTTTATTGACCATTCAGAACTCGATTTAAAAAAAAAATGTGTGTGAAGCTGGATTTGTTCTGTGATCGGCTTTTTTTTGCAAAATTGGACAAGTTATTCTAGTGTTTTAAATTATGTAGAATTTGAGTTCTACAAAATAAATCACGTATTTTCACAAAAAGTTCCAAATCAAGGTTAATACATCTAATTTTATGACAGACTTTCACAAATAGAAAGATAATCGTATATATCTCTCTAAATTTGTAGAAGTTTCTCCTTTTTGTTTTTATTTATTTTTCCCGTGTTTCATTGTGGTTTGCCAATAAGCTATAACACCCTCAAGATAGTTAATTTTCTGTTCTTACTTGATTCTCACATCTCCAACCCGTAGCCTGCATCGTGAGCTGTCTCTATTGCTAACGACCATACATTACATACTGTTTTCTTACAATTACTTGTATTATTTACATTATTCGGACTGTTATCCTCTTCTTCATTGCCATATCCACAACGTTTCGGACGTTGTACGCTCCGACCTTCTTCAGGTGATTGGAATTTCGAACCGAACCTTTTATCTCGTCCACCAGGGTAGATTGTTCTAGTTCCTCAAGGACACATGGCCCAGTGGATAAAGACGTTGGTTAGAGCCAGAAACCAGACCCAAAGAGTTGTTAGTCCAATACCAGGCCACGGCAGTGGTGAACCAAAATTTGGGTAATTGCGTTAAAGAGAAATAACTGAGACATCCGGAAGAGGCATGACACGTGGAACTAGAACAATCTAACCCGGTGGACGAAATAAAGGGTTCGGTTCAAAATCCCAATCATCTGAAGAAGACCATAGCGTACAACAGCCGAAACGTGTAAATATGGTAATGAAGATGAGGATGACAGTCCGAATAATGTAAATAATACAGGTAATCATGATATTTCATCTCAGAAATATAGACAGATATTCTTACAGTTAACAGTTCTTTCTTTTCGCTTTTCTTTACTACCCTGTCTAGGAATTCCTTTCTTTCTGTCTGCCATCAACACAGTGTCATCTACTTATTTT